TTATTTCATGAGAATAATTTCGTTAGAGATGAAACGCTCAAGTTTGGTCATGTGCACGTCTGCAGACAGCCAACTGACCTTCTGTTAGCGACATAAGGGTCTCATGCGTGAGACAGTCACGTCATTTTACTCAACATAGCTACCATCTGTAATGTATAACTGTGTAAGGTACAGATAGCTGTATACGTGCCCCCCCCCCCCCCACCCCCCACTCCCACACACACACACACTGCTGTCGAGTTTATTGCTTAGTATACCTTGATTCAACAATCTTTCTACAATCACACACTATTCATACAACATTATTGAACAATCTTTTAACAATCACACTCTATCCATACAACATTGATTCAACTATCTCTCAACTATCAACTATCACACAATATTCGAACAACATTGACTCAACAATCTTTCAACAACCACACAATATTCAAACTATCATTAAACACTCATTGAATACCAATTTAAGACATATCTACATTTATTAAAGACCATTTTAATATTCATTCAATATTCTGTAACATTTATTCAACATTCATTCAAGATACATTATAAATTCAACCAAGACACATGCAACATCATTCAAATTTCATTCCAGACTCATCCTACACTCAGTCAATATTAATTCAGCACATAATGAACATTAATTCAACACTATCCACGTGAGATTCCTATAATTAAAATACGGTGTGCATGTTTTAATTTGATTTAGAAACGCAGACAGCAAGTCAAACACATTAGCGAAGAATAATTTAAACATTTGACAAAATTATAAAGTCATTTAAAATCTAGAAAATGTTTACCCCCTGTGGTTTTAGAACTAAGTTCCCAAATCTGCCACACACCAATATCACTTTAAATTTTTTTTTCGAGGAAAGCAAAAACATCACACCGTAGTAAAGAAACAAACCGATCCAAGTTTTTTAAAATTTTATCTCTCATCCACGTGGCCTCCCATCAGCCCGAAATGTTGCCAGATTTTCAAATATCGCAATAAAATTGTTTTCTAAGCTTAAAATTATCTAAATCCTAACCGTTCTCAAAGATACAGATGTTTTTAGAACTTAGATTTCTACTTTTAACTGTCACCGACGCCTACCATTTCTTCTATTTACGATTGCTTAAATCAGCCATAATTAAAAAAATATGTCGGATTTTTTCCCAGCTTAAACCTAATTAAATAAATATTTATGATTAGTCTGAAGCGTGACGGTGGGGCATGGGCCCAGGAGCCGCACCCTGAATGGGCGCACTGCTGTTGCAGTGTCCTGTTAAGCCGTGCGCTTTAATCGGTCCGGGCATTATCTAAGACAGCGGAATAAAACGCAAGAAATCGTCTGCAAACTAGGCACGTTTAATGGTTTCAGTTTTATTTTGTTGTTGAGCAAATCTTTTAAATTACGACCCTCGGAGGTACAGCTGCAAAGGGCCGCGCGCCTCACCGGTGGAGGGGGTGGTGGAGGGGGGTGGGGGTTAATAGCTGTAGTCTTACAGTATGGAAGAGACTGCGTTAATTTTTCGATAAATTTTTATTTCGGTAACAGCTTACTTTTTTTTTCTGGTCAATTTTTTTTTTTTACCATCCGAAATCTGTCCGAAAAAGTTCAATGAAATAACGTCATAAATTCGGGATGATGTTATTATAAAGACGTTAATAAAAATAGGGGACGTCCGTATTTGGGAGGGGATTTGTTCAAAGATAAAACCGTTTAGGGCCTAACGTTTTAACGGCCCCGGATGCGCCAGGTGCGCGTGAAATTTGATGTTTAAATATAAATCTTGGAGATAGTTCAAGTAAGCCAAACGGTTAACTTGAGGTCATCGTGACACGGAATTTGACATGATCTTTCGATGGGGTTGACAAATTCATTAACCTAATTACATCATTTTAGATGGTTTGTGTTTTCAGACAAATGTCGCTCTGTGCTAATTAGGTCGGTAAGGTAATTAGATTTTAATCCTGTCAAACAGTGGTACTTAAGGCGTGGATTCTCAATCAGTAGTCTGAGAGCCCATAAATAAATATAGAATACAAGGTACTGAAGTCTGTATCTTACAGCTATATCTACACACTGCCTAATGTAACAGCTAGCATTGTTACCACGCAACAAAAGGGAGAGTGGAGTTGGGGTGGGTGGGTGGGTTGGGGGGTGGGTGGGTTGTGAACATTGAGAGCGAAAGATCAAATTGAAATATTCAAATAGATTTATTATAAACAATAACTTAAAGAAATATTTTTTTAAAACTGACCGTTTTTGAGTTTCGCCCAACATTAGAATATACACCGGACAATCCTGATATAGCTCCGGGCATTCCTGTTTTTAGAATATAAATATTATATAAGCACTTGCCTGTAGATATATATATATATATATATATATATATATATATATATATATATATATATATATATATATATATATATATATATATATATGTAAATATAGGGACTGCATACATTAGTTTGATAGATATATGAATACAGTTGTAAATTGACAAACTTGTACTGTTAAGATCAATTAAAATGTGTACTAATTGTAGATAATACAGTTAAATTTTGCCTGTTTAAGATACATATTACCAACAGTCAACAGATTGTTCAATGGAAAAGTTGTTTAGCTGGTTTTGAGCTGGATTTTTCCAACTGAATTCTTGTTTGTCAATACCCGTATCACGTGTTAAAGAGTTGACGTTCTTAAGTTGGGGGTCGGGGTCGGGGTCAGGGTGGATTATCTCGACCGTGTTTGATTTTCACACCCTGGCAAATTATTCATACGCAATACTGGCAACCCCGGGTCGGATTAGCACCGAATCTTCATCGCCAGTTAATCCTGGACTAATCCCTAACACAAGATTCTAATCGCTTGATTAGACACAGCTTGCCATAGATTCAGGGGCAGATCGGATCCCACACCACGTGATCGTCCCTATAACTCTACTCCCCCAGCGCGCGTGAAAAAAAAATAAATAACGATTTCTGTTTTTAATGTATAGCTGAATTAACATAAAAAGAACATAAATTACTTAATTAAAATCGAATTTTTGAAAATCGTTACGATTTATTTAAATACCTAAATTTAGGCAGTTTTTTTTATTTTTATTTTTGTTTAGCATAATGACGTGATTAGGTTTTATCGCGAGCTGTAATAAGACTCAACCATAAACTCCCGGGGGTGAGGGAGCAGGGGGGTTGGGGGACACACACACTGGCCCCCATTGTAGGACCAAGTGTCACCCCATCCCCGTGGCTTAGAGCGATAACTCAGCATTTGTCAGCTCTGAGAATTACCTCCCTTCTTTGCTCGTGCTTCAGTGTTGTGACACCTTTCTCGACTCTAAATTCTGTTTCGTTTTCAGAGGATTTCATCACACCATCTTATAGGCTACTTCACCACGCGCACACCACACACGCATATATATATATATATATATATATATATATATATATATATATATATATATATATATATATATGTATACATAAATACCTGTCTATGTGTGTATACATTTGTTTAAATGAGTGTAAGCGTGAATTTAAATGATGTGTATGTGTGCATATGTGATGTACTCCAAATGTGTTTTTCAGTTTTTGTTTCATTGAGTGTATAAATTGTATACGTCCATATGTGTATGTTTATAGATGTGTATTCTGGTACAGAAGTGTATATCGAAGAACTAGGTGTCTGGTTTTTTTTTCTCGTAGAACTTGTGTTCCACTAAATGCCACTCGTGTGAACCCACCCCACCCCCGCCCCTCCGCCATCCCCACACCCCTTCCTATCCCCACACCCTCCCCACGTTTGAAATGCAAACACATCCTCTGATATTTAAAAATTTGATGTTCCACCAATCTGGTCGTAAAACGTCTGCTGATGGGGGCGTTAAACTGGCCCGACGGCACATCAAAGATCACCCAAGATGGCGCTCGGCCACCGACAAATTGGCCAGATTTTTTAGAATCTCGTGTCCGAATGTCGCTATTCAAAACATATTTAATGGATGGCCAGTTATATTGCTGAATATAATATCGTGGACATTTCTCTTTGTTTTCTAAATAGAAGAACCAGACACAAATACTCGTCCTTTCTGTCAGCTTTTAAAGTTTTCTGGTCTAGCTTTTGGTGTACGCACTTCTTGTAAAACATATTTTGGTATGAAAAATATCCCAAAAAATATGTAAAATCTTATGTTAATGGTGAATAGGTGGGACTGTTATTAACAGACAATACGTGAAAAACAATTGAATGATCTAATGAGAATCTGTAGTCCAATTATTGTATACACAATTAAGTGCATATATATATATATATATATATATATATATATATATATATATAACAGACAATACGTGAAAAACAATTGAATGATCTAATGAGAATCTGTAGTCCAATTATTGTATACACAATTAAGTGCATATATATATATATATATATATATATATATATATATATATATATATATATATATATATATATATATATATATATATATATATATATATATATACATATATATATACATATATATATATATATATAATGTGTGCATGGTGAGGAATAAGTAAGGTATTGGTAGTGTATCTAGTTCATATAGTTGTATTCCACTACCATATATTCCCTGTATAGACTTCTATACTCCCTTGTACTCTGTACAGAGATTACAGCGAGTGAGGTATCTAGCCATAACTGATTATACGTATTGCACCAGTACACAAGATAGAAAAGTTGAACGCAAAAGGAAACAACGTTCTTCATTCATAACGTTGTCACTTCAGCTAATCTAATTACTGTAGACATACTTCAACACGGAAAACACCTTAACGAATATATTATACAGATAGACTAATACTAATTTAATTACAAATCTATTGACCCCTCCCCCCACCCCTACCCCCCAGTTATCTAGCCTTTTGGCAACAGAACTCAGACAATCACCTTCTCCTGTTTTTAATTGTCCGGCCCAGACCCGTAGCACCGTCACTAAAACAAGAATAACCGTGTTTATATGTCCGTCTTAACTCGGCGTCGCCTTGGTATAAATTCTGCATAAAATTTTATACCTCAACACAGGAGCCTACAAAAGCTCGGCTCTGTCCTGGCTCGCCCCAAACACCCGGGGATCTCCTCTTGGCTCAACTCTACTGCATTGTTTATTTAATTTTGTTTTTCTAAATGAGATTGGGAGAAGTGGAGAGAAAAAGAAAGGGATATGTTTCACACATAGGTTAGTACATCTAGATTTGGTTCATGATTTAGTTAAAGACGGGCTCGAGTTCTGTTGGTGGTGGTTGACTGAATGACGAAATGTTCTATCATTGTTGGTGTTGTGGTTGATTTAGAAGTGTTGTAGCAAAGCTTATGTTATTATTGGTGTGGTGGTAGATTTAGATGTGTTTTAGCATAGTGTGTTATGTTATTGTTGTGGTTGATTTAGATGTGCTATAACATAGTTTGTTATGTCATAGTTTGTGTTGTGATTGATTCAGATGTATTGTAGCTTATGTTATTGTTGGTTTTGATGTTGATTTAGATGTGTTGTAGTATAATTTGTTATGTTATTGTTTTTACTTTGATTGATTTAGATGTGTTGTAGCATAGTCTGGTATGTTATTGTTGGTGTTGTGGTTTATATAGATGTGTTGTAGCATAAGTTGTTATGTTATTGTTGGTGTTGATGTTGATTTGGATGTGTTGTAGCATAGTTTGTTATGTTATTGTTGGTGTTTTTATTGATTTAAATTTGTTGTAGAATAATTTGTTATGTTATTGTTGGTGTTGTGGTTGATTTAGATATGTTGTAGTATTGTTTGTTATGTTAATGTTGTTGTGATTTATTTAGATGTGTTGTAGCATAGTTGGTTATGTTATTGATGTAGACTTGTTATAATAGTTCGCTATTAAATTTTAATAGACTTTTTGTTATGAAACTGTTATTGTGTTTTTGTTTGCAAATTATTATAGAATGTGTCAATGTTTGTTATGTAATTATTATATGATGTTTGTTATGACATTTTTTAATGAAATTGTTGAAGATTGTGTAGTTGTTTGGTATTTAATCGTTAGGCCTATATCTTGCTTGTTATGAAACAGTTGTTATAGTCTGGGTCATTGTTTACATCATGCTGATGTAGTTCGTTTATTTTGTGTTGTGTTTCTGATTGTGATAGAACACGAAGAAGAACATTTTTAACTATAATAAAATACCTTCCAAATAATGGTGTGGCTTAAATACGTCCGTATGATAACTTTTATGATTGTACCTTTTTAATCAGAAAAAATATTAAGTCTTAGTGTTGATAAATGTCATTGTATCAGAATTACTTTTAACAGCAGAGTGCCGAGAAAAATGACTAAAAATTACTTAAAAAATCAATCAGCTGTTTTTACTCCAACGACTCTCCCCTTTCCCCACTCCCAATGTTATGGGTTTTTTATTCTTTTTTTATTCTTTTTTTTTGTTGTTGTTTTACTTCCGTGTGTATTTTTTGTTCATCTCCTGTTCATACTTATTTTTTATGAAGATTCCTAATTTTTGTAACAATTCCGTGTATGAGTTATTTGTATTACACTTCCTGTACTAGTGATAAGGTGTGTTGCGGTTGGGCCAAGACTAACCACCACTGGTAATACTTATATCTGCTGGTAGATAATGGCAGATGTATCTGTTGGTAGATACTGACAGATGTATCTGATGGTAGATACTGGTAGATGTATCTGATGGTAGATACTGGTAGATGTATCTGCTGGTAAAATTCGAGAATCGTGAGATACTATTAATAGAGTTGACTCAAGGAACTAGTCTACCCATCTCACTTGGCAGCTGTTTTAGCGCTGTTTAAACCCTCAATATTTTATGCCATGAATTTAGTAATCAGAAAGGAGGATAATGTTAAAACGAAATTAGAAAATCGAAGACTTGGATACATGTAGTTAGAAAGTTGGATATAGTGTTTAATTAGAGTAGTTGAAATAATGTTTCAAATTAGGCCGCCTTATTTTAAAAAGTTAATTTTTTCTATCTTTGCAAAACTTTCATTATTTCTGAAAAAAAAATTAGAATTGCAATTAATATACTAGCCTGTGTACACAAATCTTATTGAAGTTCTCAGTAGAAACTATTGTGAGAAATGTAACTAATACCTTATTGATGTTTTTTCAAGGTGTGTTTGGAGATAAACAAACACTGTTTAAACAATGATTCATTAAGATCAGCATTTAACTCACCGATTATTTCTGGCTACATCAAACACAGCCTTAAGAATAAAACATCGGCAATATAGAAAATTGGGATTTGAAAGATTTAAAATAATTTTTAGATCCGCGGTATGAACAATTAGTCGAGAAATATGTTTACAAACAACGTTTTATGTTTTTAAATTTTGGTGTAAACATTTGTTTTGTTATTAGTAATCTGTTTACTGACACTTGGGTACAATCGTCAGTTAAAAGGACATTATTTTCAAACTGACAAAGCACACTGCTGGTTCATTAATTAACCACAGACACTCTGCTCCACCTACATGCCAATTCATACCATGCCACACACCTAAACCCCCCACATCCCCACTCTCTCACACACAAACACCCACATTTCTACTGGACTATTTGCTTTTTTTTAAAAAATACATTGTTATTGAATCATCAATTGTCTTATTCCGAAAGTGAGTATCCGAATGATCTAGAAATCAATAGTTAAAACCCTTTATAATAATATGCGTTTAGAAGTGGCAGGTGAGATAAAGTTCACCTGCTGCTGTGACACTTCATTAGAAAGGACAGTGTGGTCAGCACTATGTTCTTCCGCCTTTACTTTCCCTCATAGTTAGGATCGACTGACTGAACCCGGATTCGAACTCGGGACCTTCAGGTTAGCCGTCTAGCGCTCTACCGTCCTTTCAATAAGCTCTCAAATGCACTGAAAGTAAGAAAATAAATAAAAATAGGAAAACATTTTCGTTCCTGAAATATTGAAAAATTCCGGCGACAAATGTTAAATATAAACGATTTTTTTCTCATTTGTTTATCGTTTAGAAATTACGAATTTAGAGTGTCAAAATAGTAAGTTGATATTACATTGTTTTTTTGTTTTTTTTTAAATTAGCGCTTTATTTTTTTCAATTCCGTCATTTTAAAATTAAGTTGAAATTCTTTTCGTTGAAACTAGATCAGTAGCTTGCTATCTTGACTCTCACATATAATTATTTGCTGCGTATAGGGCTGGTAAGTAGGTCACCAACCAGTTCTATGGCTCATGCAGGTTTTATTGAGCCGTAGAACTGGTTAGTGACCTACTCCACAGCCCTATTGTCGTGGGTGTTCTGTTCTGAGGTGTACCATGATTTGTGAATACAACTCATGTTAATCACATAATCGATCACAAGTACTTGATCCTGTATCTCGACTCTCATTATGTGAATCTAGAATCTTTTGATCTGTAATGTCATATTTAATATGTAATTAGTTTTAAATTGGATATTCTTGCATTTACACTAGAAGCTAATTAATTTGGAAAACTTTAACGAAATTGTGATTGTAGAGCTGGGTTAAAATATTTGACCACAAACCCATCAACAGACAAATATGCCTTGCACCTAAGTAAAAGCTTAAATAATGCACGCCTGATTTGAGCAACGAGTTAGGATTTGGGGGAAAAGCTACAATTTTAAAATCTAAACATTCATTTTAACATTAACAAAAATTAGTTAAATAAAACCTTGTGAAAAGACTTTTTTTATGCATGATTACTTTACTTAGAAACCCGAGGAATTTAGTTAACACTGGAAGCTGTTCTATTCATGGGCGTAATGTTTCTAGCAGCAATAAACAACCCTTAGCGTTTTAGCGTTGATTTCATGGCAAATGCCCGCATTGAAGTAGTATCTTTCGCGTTGCCCATGCGCGGAAAAAAGCTGAAATTTGTATGACGTAGGTGAAGTATTTTTGTCAGTGAAGTACCGTCTCTGTTTTTCCTGACTGAGTTTATAAATGAGTTAAGCTCTTCATATTCCGTTGGTTATTTCCAAAATAGGAAAACAGAAGACCCGCATGCGTGAATGCACTTTCTTCAACTAAGGGACAACACCCGTAAAATCACATGACTTGACTTTCAATTATCTTCTCTTTGTCTTCCTTCCGCAACATTACTCTCAATTATAGCGTCCATTTTGATCATTTTCTACTTCCGTTTTAAATTACCAAATCCCGTTTACCACAATTTTAACTAGTAGCTTTGTAAAACATTACCTTATTTTTTTTTTTTTTTTTTTTTTTCAATGGCCCTCCCTTCCGGTTTGACCCATCATGGCGCCCAAAAAGCGACTAATGATAGAGGTAACCTCTTGGGCGTACGCAGCGTTATGTTAGCTACACCGGCGCTGTTAGTGCTGCTCAATAATTGAGTCGACCGCGGACTCAAATTGAGCCATTCTATAATAAAATTGGAGTTGTCGTACGGCGTTCGACCTTCGTGGCTATCACTAGATGCGGGACGTGTAATGCGATGGTGGTCCCGGCCCTGGTACTTTAGGGCGGCTTAATGAGAAAGTTGGTGCGTTTTGTTGAAGCGTAATTGGTGCGCAAATCGTTCATTTTAAAGTCGCTGGCCGGCAAGTTTTAATTAATGGCCTCTGGTTTGGTTTCTCCTACATTTGTCGTCGTGTCTGTGGTTTGTTTCCCTAATGTAGCTGTTTCTGTTGTTCATCGATTCACCCAATTGGGAAAAAAAAACATCATTTAAACCACAAATAGTCACACACAAAAATCTCTCAGGTATCTTTAAAAAAGGGTTTTTCATTTTTAAAATATATATTTACGTCTACAATATACAATTAGTTGAATACTATTTTTATTTTTATGGTTTTTGTATTATTTACTTCTCTCTAAGCATTTTCAATTAATATAAATTTTAAATTAAAAGAAAAATATCGTCATGTTACCAAACTAGCTCTAACGGTACTCAAGTTATCGTGTACACAGACACACACACATACACACATACACACACAGACATTGCAAAGCTCAGTTTTTACGACTCGATTACGCATAAAACGCCGAAATTTTGATAAATCTGCATTTATTATTTTTTCCCGATTAAAATAAGTCCTCTATACTCCGTGTATGATGAAGCACTAAGGTGTAAAACGATGACAACTGTCATAATTTCATGTGATTTTTGTGCACGATTACAATACTTCCTCTATACTCTATATACGAGAAAGTAAAAAG